TTTTTTAACAGTTAAGTCTTATAACCTGCCTCCTCTGTTTTTTGCTGTACAATTTTGAGTCTATATGAATACCTGGTCTGTACTATGGATATTTTGCTGTAAGATGGGGTGAGTTTGATGGTAGAAATTTTTAATGCTCTTTATTCTTTAAAATATTAAATTTGCAATGTGCAACAATAGATTTTGTGCATACATAGATCTTTAGGTGAGTTTTCATTTGATGTATAGATGAAGAGGGACTTCCAGGTCCACTGTGGTAGGACATTTGTTAATTTTAAAATTGATTCACTGTGAATAAATGAGGATGGACAGTAAATAAATAAGTCAGCAAATATATTGCAATAAGCAGCTGTCACAAACAGCAGGAGCTGTGAAGAAGACACACTGTGGTTATTTTAATGTGAGCTTAATATTTTATGTTCTAATAAACATTGCCACTTTGATAACATTGTTTCAGCTCCTTTTGAATGGTTTCAGGGTGTTCTTTCGCTATATGTACTTGTTTTCTTTTTTTTTATATAAATAAAGCATATAGTAGAGAGAACATCCTATACAAAATATTAAGTATCTTATAGGATGCAAAGTGCAAGATGAAAAGTTTCAGTTCTACAAAGCACTAAGACAGAAAAACGAAAGTTGGTTTGACAGAATTAAGTTCATGTTACTGATCGTATTACCTGAATTACAGTAACAAAAAAATATAATTTTATAAAAAAACATGCTGCTTAATACTGTGCTGACGTAACAAAATACTACAATATTACCTGGTCTTATAGCTACTCAATATGATTATTTTTTGCAATGACAAAATTAGATTATTATATAGCTGGATTAAAAAAAAATGGAAGAATCATTTATTGTAATATTGTTTCTTTTTGTTTTTCTGTATTAATGAACATTGAGAAGCAGGAGTAATCTCAAATCCAATTTATCCAAAAAGGATCAAGGGATTTATCAAAAATGAAAGGAAAAAGTCAGTGGACAATTGACCACCAACTCAACCCTTTCACCTCTTGACAAATAACACACATCCAGTCTGTGTGACAAAAAACACAGTGCCCTAATAGTAGCAGGAGCAATTTAATTTGAAAATAAGTGATTTTTCAAACAATGAAAAGGTAGAACAGTTGAGTGGGCCATCATTTGCACACCATGGTTTTCCTTTCATTTAAAAAAACAAAAACAAATTTAAAGGACGGCTCTGGAAGGGGGAAAGGGGTAAAAACTTACCTTTTTCCAGCGCTGGGCGGGGAGCTCTCCTCCTCCGATCCTCCTCCTCTCCTCCCCGTCGGCTGAATGCGCACGTGCGGCAGGAGTTGTGCGCGCATTCAGCCGGTCACATAGGAAAGCATTATCAATGCTTTCCTATAGACGCTTGCGTGCTCTCACTGTGATTTTCACAGTGAGAATCACGCAAGCGCCTCTAGCGGCTGTCAATGAGACAGCCGCTAGAGGATTTGGGGGAAGGCTTAACCCATTCATAAACATAGCAGTTTCTCTGAAACTGCTATGTTTATAAAAGAATGGGATAAGCCTAGCTGGACCTGGCACCCAGACCACTTCATTAAGCTGAAGTGGTTTGGATGCCTAGAGTGGTACTTTAAGGACCCAAGCTGCAGCGGCTTCCACTTTTCTCAATTGCCTTTCAGTGTTGTGTTTTTCTCTTCCTGCCTGGTGAATCTTGCATTGTGGCTAGCCTGCAACAACTGCATGATGCACTAGGTAAAAGCTGGTAAGCCACTGTTTTATATTCAAAAGTAAAGGATGGCCACTCATGATCCAGACTGGATGTGTGGGAAAACTCAAGGTTGGAAGGGTAAGTGGGCAATGAAAAAAAGTCAACTTCCCCCAACTGTGTTTGAAATTTCCCTGGGGCCCCTCCGCCCATGTGTCTCATTCGTCCCGTCCCCCCCAGTGTCTCATTCACTCACCCCCCAGTGTCTCATTCACTCACCCCCTGTTGTGTCACACTTTCATGCCCAGGCCCCATGTGTCTCATGCTCTTGACCCCAAAGCTCCTCCATGTGTCTCATTCCCTCTGCCCTACAGCCCCTCAATGTGTCCCATTCCCTCCTCCCACAGGCCCTCCATGTGTCCCATACTCTTCCCCCCAGCCCCTCCATGTATCCCAATCCCTCTCCCCACAGCCCTTCCATGTTTCCAAACCCTCCTCCCTCCCAGCCCCCTCCATTTATCCCTCTCCCCCTCCCTGTGTCCCATTCCTCCCTCTCTCCCCCCTCCATTCCATATGTCCCATTCTTCTCTCTCTCCACATCCCTTCCATGTGTCCCATACCCACTCTTCCTCCCTTCCATGTGTCCCATGTCCTCCCTCTCTCTCTCCCTTCCATGTGTCCCATGTCCTCCCTCTCTACCTCTCCCTTTCATGTGTCCAATAGCCTCTCGCACTCCCTTCCATGTGTCCTATGCTCTCCCTCCCCCTCACTTCCATGTGTCCCATACCCTCTCTCCCTCCCTTCCATGTGCCCCATGCCCTTTCTCCCTCCTCCCCTCGCTTCCATGTGTCCCATACCCTCCCTCTCTTCCCCTCCCCTCCATGTGTACCATTGTTCCTTCTCTCCCCCCTCCCCTCTAGGTTCCCATTTCTCCCTCTCTTCCCTCTCCCCTACAGGCATCCCATTTCTCCCCCTCTCTTCACTCCCTATGTCCCATACCCTCCATCTCTCTGCCTTACGGAGGGTACTATTCCTACCTCTCTCCCCATCCCCTTCCTGTGTCCCATACCCTCTCTCTCAGTGAGCACTCCCTGTCAGACCGCATGGCCACACTACATACAGGCAGGAGGGGAGCAGCACAGCATAGCTCTCCCCTCCTTCCAGCTTCGGGAGCCACGGACCTGGGCTGGTGCAGCCGTGCACTGGCTCATAAGGCAGCCCACAGTCCCCTGGAGTGAGTGGCCCGGTTGCAGCTGTGACCCCTGCGACCGTAGTAGGTACGCCACTGGTAACAGGCATAGCAAAACTTTTTCAGGCAGGGAAAAACCTTAAAGAAAGACATTTGAAAAAATGGGGAGCAGGAGTAATTTAATTTGTCATGTGGATGTCCTAAAACATTTTCCATTTTCAGAAAAAAGTGGTTTGTCCAAGACAAACTTGCTCGATGTGCATAAGTGTTGTATACAGCAATGTTAATAACTGTTTAACACCAAAAAAGGACATAATTAACACAGCAGCTCCCTCATCATGTATAGTACACCAAAATACAACATCAAAAAACAAACAATTTTAAAGGGGCACTAAATGGTGGTAACACACTCCTCAATACAGTGTATATCATTGCACTTACAGAGTAATAAATAAAACGAGAAATATAAAGATGACAGTAATAAAAGCACTGGTATGCCTAGTTGTGACTTTAGTATGTTGTATCGCAATGCAAGATGATTTAGACAAAGCAACTTTGTAATTCAGCTTCAAAAGCCCTTCGGAAGCATAGTAAAAGGATCTACAGTGGGCGCTCACCCACCCCTCCCTCTCTCCAATGTATCTGACCTACTACATACAATTCTATTACCAGTTAAGAATGTGACACAGGTGACCTGGGGGGACATTCTGTTTTAGCAAAATATAGTATTTATGGGATGATGTATAGTACACTTCCCTTCCCCTCCCTTTCCTCAAGTCCACCCCACACATCGACGAAGTGAATACACATCAATACTACAACCACCCAAATTGCAATAGCTGTAGCACAGCTAGCTTGAATCTTTCACGCAAGGCATGACTGACATTACATCACGGCTGAGGGACCACCACTCTCTGGAAATGCCTCCTAATGCCATGTCATGTTGCAATAATAACCCTTGCTGTGCTTTTTCCCCCATATATATAAACCCCCTCTCATTTTTTTAACCCATATTTGTTGAAAATCAATAAACTTTAAATGGGAAAAAAAGAAAGCATTGAAAACACCAAAAGGGCTCATAGTATAAAACTGTATTACACCTCTACTATCATCATAAGACTACAATATAGCACACTTATAATTAAAATTGCAAGCAGTGCAAAAAGAGCATAGTAGATAAAATTGGATAAAATCAGCCTAAAACTCTCACCCAATCTGTTTCATCCATTTAAGTATTTTTCAAGGGTATAAGCTACATAGTAAATTAATAGGTTTCTCCAGGCACCATGACCACTACAGTGATTTTAAGTCGTCATGGTGCCTGGAATCTGTATGTAAATCCTTTTGCTGTGAAACACTGCACATACTGAGTTTAAATCCTTTGCTTCTGGAGATGTAATGCTACCTCCAGCAGCGACATTGGAGTATAAAAAACAGCACAGCCAAATTCGACCCCCCCCCCCCCTGGTATTTGCGACCATTTGGCCAGGCTGTGTACTGTTGATGTGCTGCACCTTTGTTTCTATTGGGACTGTTCAGAAAAATGCTGCTGCTGGCCCCGCTTGTGTTCGCAGCCATTCGGCCAGTTTTCTTAGTGTGAGCATATTGGAACGTCATTCCCTTTGGGACTATTCAGCTCAGGCCATGATTACTTAATCTCACAGTAGTCTATTACTGATATAGGCTACATTAGGCCTTGTTGGCATTCAATGGCAGCCATTTGGTTTCTATGTTCTCAAGTATAGTCACACTGCTCAATTGGTTAAATTGTTTAATACTTATTCATCACATAGTTATGTATGGCTAAATTAGATGCATATAGGCCAATCAGTCGGGTTTGTCAATACATAATTTATGCTATATATTTTACTTTCAGTAATTCAAACCTGGTCAGACAAGTTCAACTGTAAAAATTACAGTATTATGTCAGCCATATATTTCACCATCTAGTGGCAAAACGCATAATAAAAAAAAAAAAGAAACACCCCTCTCGGTTGGTTATGTATATTGTAACGGCTACCCTGCTGTAGGGGGGTATCTGCCGTTGGAGACGTCCTTTTCTAGGCAGGCTGCTGTGCAGTAATGGAGTTCTTATTCCCATCCACGATATCCAAGTGTTTTTCCGGCAGTGCTGTAAAATGAGGCAGAGTAACGGTACCATAAATCCCCTCCAAGAACGAGACGAGGCTACGTTTTGAAGGGTCAAGTAGAACTGATGTTTATTGACAGGGGTCTCCTTTTATGCAATGGTGCCCTCTGAAAGGCTACACCCACATAATTAACACAACAGCCAATCAGATACATGGTACAACCCCCACGTCTCCTCCCCTCAGATAAACATATAACATAATTAAAACAGACACAATTTTACCCACATTCTGGATGTACCCCAAAAACAGGGGGTCACCTTTAAGTCCACTCAGGGGAACAACATGTCCAAATTTCAGCCCATTCGGTTGAGGGGTTCGGGAGTTATGGATCTTTGAAGTTTTGACCGACCGCACAGGTTTTCTAGCCGAAAAGAGTTCCATAAGTTTTGGCCTTGCGGTCGGTCTCCGTTCGTGCATTAAAACCCCACGAACCCCTTGCCATCCACAGTCATCCTGGTGTTCGCTGGAATCCCTATGCAGGCTTAAACAAACCTACCAAACGGCCGGTCGTTCAGTAGTTCCAGCACGAACTTACGAGCTCCTGGAGGTCTCAGTGGTGTTCGCTTGTTTGCGTATCCATTTTTAGTTCCATGCGTTCACAGGCCAACACTGCCGTTTGTGCGTAAGATGGCCACGAACACGTGTAAAGTCCCGAAATGGCGGCCATCTAACCTGAGCACAAAGGAATTCGTATGAACCATGCGAACGGCTCCACAATCACTGAGAGGTAAAATATCAATTAACTGTTCCTCTGGGTGGTCTGATGTTCGGTATTTTGGGCTGTATGTTACAGTAGGAATATTTACACGAAAACTAGCCATTCGGTTTTTGTTTGACACATCCAGCAGCGTTGTTATTTAAGTCCAGGCAAAAGTATAGGCACAATCACAGTTCTGTTACATATATGTACATTCAACCTTCACTGTACACAATTTCATATATGTATTATTCATATTTAGCCCCTGATCAAATATACAACAATAGCTTTGCTTTCAAGTCATCTGATTTCGTAAAATCTCTGTTGGTAAGCATTTGGCCTACATTTGCCCACTCAAAGTATGATTGGTATATCTACATTCAACTCAGTTATACTGTTACTGTATACATTACATACTATTGTGTCAGCCATACATTTCACCATCTAGTGGCAAAACGCATAATTACAAAAAAAAGAAACATCGCTCTCAGTTGGTTATATATGTGTTGTAATTCATTTAACCCTCACAGAATATAATTATGCATATGTATTATTCCTATTTGCCCCTGATCAAATATATAAATTTGTCCAAACCTGTACAGCCTCTCTATTGGTAAACATTCGGCCAAAGATTGCTCATCAAACCAAAAAAATAAATCCTAGTTAATTAAAAATTAATATATTTTAGTGAAAATTATGTTTGCAAGTTGTTTAACTCTTGGCATTTAATTAGGTGTAATTAATGGCTTGTTGTCTAGTTTAATGAGGAATCCTAATGATTTAGATCAAAGCAAACTTTGATTATTTGTCTATCTACTCCTTCCAAATTGATTAATTGCGTGCACGCTCTTCCTAGAAGTAATTCACACTGGAGACAAAGTTTCTGATTAGTGAAAAACCTGAGGAATGCTTTATTCCACGGAGTGGGAGCCCCTTTTAAAGCAGAAATATGTCATGTACAGAGTCACAGTTAACATACAGTATACATTAAACAATTGGTTAACAGTCTAAGGAGTCTTGTCTAAACTCACCCTACAGGATGTAATGTCATCATTACAGAGTTCTCCCACCCACATTCCAGTTCCATCTTGGTTACACGATGGGAGGGGGAGTGAATAGTTACTGAACAAAGAGGGGCTGAAGGGGAAACAGTTACTTTAACAGCTATTCTCCATTTTGTTACACGTGGCACATAGCTGTTAGTTGCACAAAGGAAGTGGGGGCTGAGTTAGTAGTTCTTTTAACACAGGAATTTGTTACATGAGGCTTGCTCGATGGGAAGGGGGGAGGGTAGCCGGATGGGAGGAATTAGGAGGAAATAGTTACTGAGCACACATGTACAGAGTAAAAAATACATTTTATCCATTCAAGTATTTTGGCCATAACAGTCCCCCCTTAAAATGACGATTTTACTAACAACAACTATCTCTAACTCTAATACTGTCCCTATAGAAAAATAACAATAAAGGCAATCTTGCACATCTGTCTGAACAGGCCTCGAACGCTTCAATGCGCGGGTGACCCATAGCAGCTTGCCCACTACTTCTCCCACAACAGACTTCTGCCATTAGAAACAAACGCTATCCCTGAATGTCCCTAAGAAGAAGTAGCTGTTGATTTAGTGCAGTGGGACTGTAAGGGTGTATGTGGTGTATCACGGTCTATGTCGTCAATCTCTTGGTGAAGGAAGGTCAGGGTGGTCTGGTCGATTGTCTGATCAACTGTCTTTTGTAGGCATTTCTTAAGACAGGGTAACACACAAGAAACAAGAAAAGCAAGGATGATTATCGTTATTAAACTGGCAACACCTATTTGGGCCAGAGCACCTTGCCATCCAGACATCCATCCAAACCATCTTTCCCATGGATCCGTGGCCCCAGAATTCCATTTCAGTTCATTGGACAAACTCTTTAACTTTTCTATTGCCAACGTTACCTTACCATTAGGGCCTGTATTATCTGGGATATAGATACAGCATGTCAGGGAGTATTTTACATACTCCCCCCTTTCTCTGCCAGAATCATGTCTAAGGCCATTCTAGTCTGGAAGGTCATCTGGGAAGTAGCTTGTAATTGTTCCGCCAAACCCTAGAGGGCATCTCTTGTATAATTTACAAAACGTTGTTGGTTATAATAGATGTAATTAATCCAATTTACATTTTTATTGGCTGTGATGATTGGAAAAATAGATTCAAACCCTGTGGACACTTCATCTCTTGCATTAAATTCATTTGGCACCCCCCTTGGCACTCCTATGGCATCTATATAAATATGGGGATCAAAACTGCCTTTTACAGGAGTACCTCTCTTTATTCTAGAGTATTGGTGTGACGTACCTGGGGTATCTTGGTGTCCATCAGAGATTATGTGTATAGGCATAATTACCTTAGCTAGAGCACATTCTTCCCCACCATACGCCTTCAAATCTGGTTCTAATCTGCATATCCCCACAAATCCAATATATGTCTCCATATCTTACATGTTGCTAGGTTAAGGCGGGTGGAATTGGGCTATATGTGGCACAGTACTTACCAACCTACCCCATCATATATACCGTAACAAGTGTAGTTTCCTGGATATATGGTGATACCCTTATCTGGCTTAACATCTTTAAGGATAATTGGGTATTCCTCTGTCCATGATTCACATTCCGTCAGGTCAGTTTTAAGTATAGTATAGAGACTTAGGAAACACATCTCTATCTCCGGAGGTATGTTCAAAGGGACAGTACCTAAGTGAGGCCTCGCTCCTCCACAGACATAGCAGTTAGATCTGTTGTGTTTGTTAGCGTTATATTTCATCCACTCAAGCCATAAATTAGTGTCAGAGAAACCCGTTTCTACAGCCATAGTGTCCTCATACTTTGGGTTAGCTATAGCTATCATGTCTTTTAGAGTTTTGATGTGTGGCTTATGAGGATTAATAGTCATGTGCGTGGCACCTACCCATTCAGGTGAGTCATACATGTCCCGTAAGTAAAATGTCCCCTGTTTATTGTATGAACCTCCCCCCTTCCAGTACATTCCCATTACATATTGCCCAGCATCTCCAGGACTGTGATGTTCTATGTTTAAAGCTAGTTTCATAGGTGTCGCCCCCCCGCCCCCTGGTTTCCTGAACGTCATTCTTTTCAGTAAGGACTCCCCTATTTCTATCTAATCTGTCTAAGGCACTTTGTGGTCTGTAGCCCCAGGCTAGCCCTGTATTCCAACCTGCTGCCTTCCATGAACTACACTCATATCCCCAGTAGTCATCAGTCACACATATGTATGGGTCTTTGATGTTAGGTATATCTTTGTACACTGTTGACGACAATGACGGTGGAAATGTACAATTTACGACATCACAATAATCAAATGAAACTGTGGCTACCCATGAACTAGCAGAATTGTACCAAAATGTGTAAACATGATTGTCTTTGGTTACAGCGACTTGTTGGGCCTTTATCAGACCTAGCAGCAAGAACAAATACACAAAATTCATGATATAACAGGATCTGCTTCCTCTGGAGCTGGAACTTTCTTGCAATGTGAAGCGTGTATCCAAGTGTTCTTTCCTGCCAATTTAACTGAGGTAGTCGTGGTTTGAAGAACTTGTAACAGACCATCATATCTGGGTTCAAGGGTATGTTTTCTCAGGAACTTCTTAACCAGAACCCAATCACCAGGAAGCAACTTGTGTGTGCCTGTATCAGACTCTGGATCTGGAATGGAATGTATCTTGGGCATGTATCTTGTTTAAAGCTTGGGAAAGAGCAGTCACAGAGCATAGTATCTGATTGCAGTTGGAGTTGTTGAGGAAAGTAACCTAGGGGCTGAACCAAACTAAATCTCATAGAAGGACAGGTTAAACTTCCCTCTTGGTGTGTACCTGACACTAAACAGAGCTATGGGGAGACTCTCTGGCCAGGGCAGGTTAGTTTCTTGGGCCATCTTAAGCATTCTGGCTTTTAAGGTGCCATTCATGCGTTCTACCTTACCACTACTCTGTGGGTGATAGGGTGTGTGGAATGCAAGGGTCACCCCCAGTGCTGCCCAGACTTCCTTAGTCACTAGTGCTGTAAAAGCCGGGCCCTGGTCACTTTCAATCACTTCAGGAACTCCATATCTACAGACAATTTCAGTGAGCAACCGCTTGGCAGTGGTCTTGGCGGTCATATTAGTAACCGGGAAAGCTTCTGGCCATCCTGAGAACATGTCCACCATAATTAGGGCATATTCATACCGGCCACTCTTTGGCATCTGAATGTGGTCAATTTGGACTCTCTGGAATGGGTAGTGTGGCTTCGCCAGATGTTTGGGGAAAATTTTCCCAGATTCCACTTGGCACAGATAGCATAAGACTTACAGTAGGTTTTAGTCAGAGTGGTTTTACCTGGTGCTTCAAAATATTTAGCAATTAAAGAGTTCATGAGGGTCTTAGACAAGTGCGCTGCTCCGTGGGCCCACTGAACCACAGCCGGATACATACATTTAGGTAGACAAAATTTGAGATTGCTAATATACACTCCATCCTGTAAGGTTGTTTCTTTCTGTTTCCAGCTTTGCTTTTCTTCAGGACTTACAGCTGCTTGCTGTTCCTTCAAAAACTTGAGGTCCGTAGGTAAGGTTTGCATGGTAAAGATAGGAATTTCCTCACCGGACACTCTTCTGTCCACTTCCCTTGATTGACATGCAGCATCTTTGGGGCTTGGCCAGCTCCATGATTGCCACACGTTTCTCCGAATTCCGTCTTCCATGGGCTTTTACTTTCAGTATGGCCACTTCTTCAGGAAGGAGTAA